TGTGTTTCAAAAAAATTCTAATTCTAGTTCTACTAACATGAATTGTACACCCAACAAAGACATTTTTACATTCAGTTATGTCAGTGTTTCTTGTGATCACCACCAGAAGTCCAGAACTGTGTAAGTAAAGCCAAAATACAATAAAACATCACGTGATAATTTGTAAGGTCCGTCTTTATAGCCTTCCAAACATATGTATGATATGAGTGGACCCACAATCTTAGGATTGGACATGGAGCCCACTAGCTTAGAGAAGTGGACCAATAGACTATTTATAGTTAAAGAAACCCTATAAATATATTGTATATCAAATACAAACTAAAATCCAAGTACAAATACATACTAAACTCTTCTACTTTCTTTGAGAACAATTTGTTTTGTTAAACAAATTTGGGTATGTATATATACAATAATAATAAATTTGATAGAAGGTCTAGATTATATCTTCATACTTTGAAAATAGGAAAGTAGTGCATTAATTAGAAAAACTTGTCACCAACCTCTGTCATACAATGGCAACTTATATATGATTTTTAGTTTTTGTATTGAATGAGATAAACTACCAGTTGCTCTTGTTAGATCTTTTACTCTATTTTAATTTTTAGCTAAGTAAGATCTCTATTTCAGCTCTGAAATTCCTACTCCCAAAGTTTACATTTATTGGAAAAAAAAATTTTGGCAAATAAATTTTACATTATACAAAAAATCTATCTATTAAAGAAAAACTTGGAAATAGATGAAATAAGTGTCATTCTATGTTTTTCATAGAATTTAAGAAAAACATTACATTATACTCCCTCTGTTTCATTTTAGTGATATATGTTTAAGGTTGTTATACACATATTAAGTAAACATATAATTTCTCTTGTTTTTATAAAAACATCATTAATTAAAAGGAATTCAACCAATCACAAAATAAGATGTAAAATATGATTGGTCAAAAATTATTAAATACATTTAATTTTTGCATAGAATAGTTAAAAACATCACTTAAAATAAAACAATTTTTTTGGCTAAAACATCACTTAAAATTGAAACTGAGGGATATAATTTTTCCTATTGTTCAATACATTAAATTACTCGTGATAAAACTGGAAAATTCACCAAACATCTGCATTGAAAATACAAAACGACACTTATTTTGAAACGGGGAGTATGAGTTTGCTAGTATTTTAAAATTTTATTTTGACAATCAATCAGCTTTACCACTGGAAAACGCAATGTTAGTTACATTTTAAGCGTTCATGATATGTTTTACATGAGCCAAACAAAATAATATTATTCCAAAAAAAAAAATTTGCCATAGAATTAACTTATAATTTTTAGGATAATGTTATTCTTGAAACTAAAAACTAAGTTTTGTAAAGTTTATTCATTCATAATATTTATTAATGGAGATTATATAGGTTTCATACGATATATGAAAATGATATTATATCACTTTATATATTTCTTATGTACTTAAATGTTTTTCTGCACAATCGAAAGGGAAAACAATATAATTCTTTAAAAAACTTATTTATACATGCTCTCATTATGAGAAGAAAAAGTGGGCTATTTGTTCTCACGTCTGTTGCCTTCTCACCAGATCCGAGTTAGAGCCCGGTCCCTCTCAAAAAGAGGCGTATAATTTGTAAGGATGTTAAAAAAAAAACAATATTCATTATATTATTATGGAAATATCCCAAAATGCTAAATATCTCAATATTAGTTAAGCTAAAAAAATAATATTAAGGTAATTTATACAACTATATCAATATTGGTCAAGTAATGATATTTAGAGATTTTAGACTTGGTAAGTAATATTTACTCTTTGCCAATATATACTGGTCAAATAATACTTACTTTTTGAATCCATACTAGTCAAGTAATATTTAAAACCATAAGGATTGCAATAAATTAAAAGTTGACCAGGAAAAAAATACACATAAAATATATTTTGTGTTCTTATATCATATATATATAAATATATTCAGTCTGGGGAATAACAATTCATTAAAAAAAAAAAGGTTGAAAGAATTATCACTACAACAAGAGTTATCACTATGAAAAGTTTAGTTGTATTTTGTTTTACTATCCTCCTCATCACATCTTCTGTTCATTGTTCTGCTAAACCTGATGAAAGTCCTGGTGATTGTTTATTAATTGTTATTCATACCTTCATTTTGCAATTATCGTCATGCTGATTTTAGTCTTTGTTAATGGGTATTGATTATTATTGATATTGTATATAGGTTATCGACCTAACCGATTACAACTTCCAAAGGCTGTAAGGTTCGGGCGACGCTTGTGTAGGAACCCAGAAAACTGCAATATTTATTGTATGAGCCTCCGTTTTGATCATGGCTTCTGTTTTAGCAGAAAATTTTGTGTTTGCGTATAACTAAATGTACTGGTATCTGCTAAAAAAATCTATAATATTACTTCAATGGTTTTTTTGCTCAAAACCTAAAGAGTGGAAACAAAATTAAGTAAAAACAAAAGCAAAACCTCTACAATTTTGAGTAGGAACATTTTTGAACTGTTGTTCCTTTTTATTTGAGGAATGGATAGGAATAATATAGATCCCACATATCTGAAAATTGAAAAAACATTATGCGTAAATGGTAGATAAAATTGAGGAACAATGAGGAACACCACATTCCTCTTCATTCTATTCCTAAAAAGTGGTCACCAATTGGAGCCCATGTTTTTTTAAAAGAATATATATATATTTTCTAAATTTTTTTAAGATTTAAGGAATATTTTCTTAATTTTTTCATTCTCTTTTACAAAATGAAGTTTTTAATTTTATTTCCATAAAAATCAAATTAAGGGTATAATTGAATATTTTTCTATTCTCAAACCTAATATACCAAACTTTGAAGAAAAAAAAAAGCATAGATGGACAAATTAAAACAATTATCCCAAAAAATATATTCGTATATCATTTTTAAGAAAGTATTTTAAAATTCATGATTAAAGAAAACCTATAAGCATTGTATACCAGATAAACTGAAATCTAAGTGCAAATACGTACTATACTCTTTTATTATTATTAGAGAACGAACATTTCTTTTTCTTTATAATTTTCGAGTGTATATATGATGAATGGAGATATTTAGGACTTATAAGAGAAGTGAAAAGCAAATTGGGTCGTTAATTGAACTACTTCAACAAAATTTTAGTTAAAAACATGATGAACCTAGTAATGATCTGATCAACATTATTTGTTTCCTTCCATTTCTTCACACATGTGTACATATGGAGAAACATATTTGAGGTGTTTGAATTTTGATAATATAAACCTTTTTTTTGTTTAAGAGTGTTTAATAATATAATTTTATTTAAACAATTTTGGATTAAAAGATGGTTGTAGCCTTTTTCCTTCCGTTACTTATTGTTCCGCTTTCATATGCGAATTTTTTTGCATCTTTAATGATTCTTTTTACAAAACTATACGTACTTTAGTTTTTAGTTAAATGACTATGCCTCCAATTAGACCAGATAATGATTCCTTAACCAGATTTAACCACAAATTTGTTTTTACTATTTTGTGATTAGCTAGGATGATATATCACTACAAGAAAACAACTCCAAACCGACGGGAAAATCTGACTACAATCCGTCGGAAATAGGTGTAACCAACGTATTACCAACATATTCGTTTGGCGGTTCTATAGCGTTGGAAAAGTAATTTTATCGGTAAATCATTGGTAATTATTGACAGTAACTCGAATTTTTTTTCCTAACGGTTTACCGACGGAAACTTGAAAATGAAGCTCTAATACTCTCCTTCATAAGTCATAACCGACGGATTACAGACGTAAACTTGAAAAAGAGGGTCCACTATTCTCTGGCGGATTGACAACGAAAACTCAAAAACAAAATTCTCCGTTATAACTAACGTATTACCGACGAAAAATCAAAAATAAATGTCCAAAATTCAAATTCTCCGTCATAACCGACGGATTACCAACTGATTACCTACGGATATTAAGTACTTAATAACAAACTCATGATCTGACAATGCTAAATGACATAAAAATATAAATATTTGTGTAGGAAAACTGAGTATGCAACAAGCATAATAAGGGATTTAATATGGCAACAAGTATTTCTTAATGACAAGTATTATTTAATACATTAATAATAATTCTTTAACCCGCTGTAATAAAAACTAAACAGAGTATATAATATGTATCTTGATTTAATTCTTTTTCTAGAAAAGTTAAGATTCTTATCAAATATCCATATTTTTTGATAAGATTCGTAGCCAAGTTAAGATTCGTAATGAACATGGTGAATGGCTTGGTGGATTCATGTGCAGTATTGGTCAGTGTACTGCTCCTCTAGCGGAGCTTTGGGGAGTCTTTTACGGTCTTCACATTGCTTGGGAGAAGAGGATACCATGTTTAGAGGTGGAGGTGGATTCAGAGATGGTTGTGGGTTTTCTCAAGACAGGGATAAGTGAAATGCATCCGTTGTCGTTCCTGGTACGCTTGTGCCATGGCTTACTTACGAGGGACTGGAATGTCCGCATTGCTCACGTGTATAGGGAAGCTAACCGTCTTGCTGACGGGTTAGTGAACTATGCGTTTTTGGTACCTTTAGGTTTTTATGTTTTGGATGTTGTACCGCCGGATTTGGCTTTGATTTTGCATGAGGATGTTGTTGGTTCACCTCAACCAAGAGATTTTTATGTGTAATTTTTGATTTTTATTAATAAAACATAGGGAGGGCACTATCTCCCGTCAATTTACCAAAAAAAATATCCATATTTTTTATGCATAGCAACGTATGTTATTTTTTACACAAAAAAAAAACAATAGTATATTAATTTTAAGAAACTATTCTAAAATTCATTGTAACACTTTGGTTTGCAGAGAGGTTTAACGAGATTGATTTGGCTACGGGCCACATATGTCAACAAAGTGCATAACTTTCTTCGTAAAGAATGTCGATCAGATGAATGCGAGTTCCCTAATGAAGTGGGAAATGTAGGTAATGCAGTTTTTTTTTGTTGCTAAACTGCAAATATCATATAAATATGAACATGGTTTTACAACCTTTACATTGTTTCCTTGGCAAAAAAGAGGAAAAACAAGAAAACAATTTGATATTACACTTGAGAATAGAGCTTTACTGCTTTAGATCCACCGACTCATAAGATGCTTGATCTTTTTGTTGATGATTCTGGCCGAGATGGAGTTCTTGATTTCTCTATCAATCTCCTTGAAGATCACCGAGGGCGGCAAATGGACTTGATTATGTACAGCATTGTTGCGCTGTTTCCAGATAGCATACAAAACTGATTGCACAATCAACTTTCGCAGGGTAGGGGGAGAATCGTGATTGCTCTGATTTGTCCAAGCTAGCATTTCAGGCCAGGAGTTGAAAGCCAGGCCGGTTGATCTGATCCGTCTACTAACTGCATTCCACAGGAATAGAGCGAAGTCGCAAGAAAGGAACAGATGGTCCCTCGATTCTGGAAGCGAATCGCAGAGGCTGCAAGTGATGTCGATATTCATACCCCAATTTGAGAGTCTTGTCTTTGTAGGGAGGCGATCTAGATTTGCTACCCACATATTGAAGGCGTTTCTAGGAGTCGCACCTTTAAACCACACCGTTTGATGCCACGGAACTTTGCTAGCTTTTGGTCTAATGCTTGACCAAGTTCTTGTGGAGGAGAAGCCGTTGCAAATCTGGTCATCCACAACCCAGTCATAAGAGTCAGGGCCCAGATCCACCCGAGGAAGCGGGATAGTCGTTAGGTACATGTGAAGGGATAAAGCCAAATCAGATCTTGGGTCCGAAATGACCCAACCATGGGGGTTTGTAGCGTGAGCTACTTTAGCCAAGAGAGGTACTCTTAGGGATCTGGGGCCCTCATGTCCTAAGGCCTTGATTAGGGTACCAAGGGGAGACCAGCTATCATACCAAAAACTTGCATTCATACCATTGGCAATATTACACCTGACAAAAGCCTCTGCGAGGGGTCTTAATCTAAGAATGCATTTCCAGTTCCAAGAATCCCCAACGCGTTCCGGGAGACTCCAAAGACTGTGGTTAACAATGTAATGCAGTTAACAATGAAGGTAATCCAACAAATATCAATGAAAGTGATATAGAAGAGCCTCTCGAGACACAAGAGCAAGATAGAGAAAACGCAAATAATTGGAGACAATCTATGGCCGAAGACATGTGGAAAGATGCTACGAACTTAGAAATTCATTAATAAATAGATTGTAGTTTCAAGTTTTGCATTTATTAATAAATTTGCCAAATTGTTGTTGGTTGAATCGATTTGCTTTGCTCTCACCAAACTAGTCATCAACTATACAAAGTTAGTGCTCACAAATATCTCACCTCCTTTCGTACTTTGGAAGAAGCTAAAAAAAAAAATTACAACTGTTTTTGATGATATGTTTGTTTGAGGTAAGAGGAAAACAGAAAGTTTGCCCGACTCGAAGAACACGACGATGATGAAGAGGAACATAACTCTCCACCACATCAGAGAAAGTACACGTCACTCCCTAGGTGAGTTAGTTACCACATTAGAAGAATTTATTTCCTTTCAATTCTATTAAAAATTCTATTCAATTCTAATAAAATTATGCAAAATATCATCGTTAGAATTAGAAGGAAAGATTTGGAAATCTTTTACAATACATAAAAATCTAGATATATGTCATTAATTCTTTTCTAATAAATTCTTTAACATTACCGTGTTCAATACCCCTCCTAAATCAAGATACATATTGTATACTCCCACTGTTTCACAAAAGTATCATTTTAAAGAAATTTTTTTTACACAAAGAGTGTCATTCTACATTTACAATGCATCTTTTACATTAGATTTCCATATTTTACCCTTACTCTACAATTATTAACCATTTATTAAATAGGGGATATACGTATATTTTTTTTTTTTTAATTTGTGTGAAATGTATCAAAATGATACTCTTTGTGAAATAGAAGGAGTATGATTTTTATTTTTATATTGAATGAGATAAACATCTACCAGTCTCTCTTGTTGGATCTTTTACTCTATTTTAGCTAACTAAGATCTCTATTTCAGATCTGAAATTTCTACTCCCAAAGTTCACATTTATTGGAAAAACTTTTTTTGGCGAATAATTTTTACACTATACAAAAAATATATATAATAAAGAGAAACTTGAAATCGATAAATTTTAGACAAGTATAAGTCTTGTTAATATGATTTTCCCATTTAAAAAATATATATATTTTGACATTCAATCAGCTTTATCAGTCAAAAATGTAATGTTAGTTACATTTTAAACGTTCATGATATGTTTTACATGATCCAAACTAATCAATATTGATCCCAAAAATAATTGCCATAAAATTGACTTGTAATTTTTGGGTTAATGTTATTCTTGAAACTAAAAACTAAGTTTTGTAAAGTTTATCCGTTCATAATCTTTTATTAATGGAGATTATATAGGTTTCATACTATATAATTAAGAAAATATAATTTTTGAGAAATGCCCCTTTTGGTTTACCCTTTTTTAAAATACCCCTATTTTCTATCCATTTTCAAAAATACCCCTTTTGAAATATGAAATATTATAAACTTTTATATGGTTGATAAGGTACATCAAGATCATCATTACTATTGGAAGACTAAATCCAAATATTTATAAGGTTTTAAAAGGTTCTAAACGGCATTTATAAGGTTTTTAAAAGGTTTACACAGTTTTTATAAGGTTTTTAAATGATTTTTAAAAGGTTTTTAAAAGGTATTTATACAGTATTTATTAAATATATATATAAATTTACACACATATAAAGATAAATTGTGTCTATAAATATAAGTTTACACATATGTTTTTGATAAATTTCAAATGTTATAGTGATTTTTTGATAAAATTAGAAAGAGGGGTATTTTTAAAAAGTGGTATTAGAAAAGGGGTATTTTTGAAATTCCCCCGTAAGAAAATTATATTATATCACTTTATATATTTCTTATGTACTTAATTATTTTTTGCTCACTCGAAAGAGAAAACAATAAAATGCTTTTAAAAATATTTTATAATGTTCTTATTATATTAGTATGAAAATACCCTAATATACCATTATCCCGGAATGCTGAATATCTCAATATTAGTTAAGCTAAAAAAAATAATACTAAGGTAATATATATATACAAGTATCAATACTGGTCAAGTAATGATATTTAGAGATTTTATACTTTGTAAGTCATATTTACCTTCTCAACATATACTGGTCAAATAATACTTACTTTTTGAATCCATACTAGTCAAGTAATATTTACAACCATATATAAGGATTGCAATAAACTAAAAGTTGACCAGAAAAAAAACACATGAAATATATTTTGTGTTCTTATATCATATATAATCAGTCTAGGGGAAGAACAATTCATTAAAAACAAAGTTGAGAGAATTATCACTACAATAAAAGTTATCACTATGAAAAGTTTAGTGGTATTTTGTTTTACTATACTCCTCATCACATCTTCTGTTCATTGTTCTGATACAGCTAATGAAAATCCGGGTAATTTTTTTATTGTTATTCATACCTTCTTTTTGCAATTATCATCATGATGATTTTAATTAGTCTTTGTTAATATGTATTAATTATTGTTAATATTGTATATAGGTTATGAACCTAACCGAATTGGGATTCCAAAAGCTGTAAAGTTCGGGCGACGCTTGTGTAGGAACCCGGAAAACTGCAATGCTTATTGTATAAGCCTACGTTTTGATCATGGTTTCTGTGTTAGCGGAAGATTTTGTTGTTGTGTATAATTAAATATACTGAAAAAAAGAAAATCTATAATTTTAACATGTTTTTGAATCAATATATAAAAATCTATAATATTATTTTCAATGGTTTTTTTTGCACGTAACCTAAAGAGATCGAGGAAACAAAATCGAGTAAAAACAAAAGCAAAACCTAAAGTATATGTGGTAACAAGCATATGGTAACAAGATACCAAAGGTCAAAAACAAAAACTGAAATAAATGTTCATACAAATCCTTCTTGAGTTCTTTGTTTGTTGGGTAAGTCCCCTTTAAGTTCATTTCTAGCTCTGTGTTTCAAAAATAGTTCATTACTAGGTCTACCAACATAAACTGTACACCAAATAAAAACATTTTACATTCAGTTATGTCAATCTTTCTAGTGATCACTACCAGAAAAATAAAATGGTAACAAGATACAGAAAATTAAAAAAAACTTGGTGAATTGGAATTTGCCCCTTTCTCGTATGATGAATGGAGAGATTAAGGACCTATAAGAGTGCTGAAAAGCATATTGGGTCGTTAGTATGCGATTATTTTGCATCTTTAAAAACCACCAAAAGAATGATATTATTCACAATACTATACATACAGTTGAAACCAGATAATGATTCATAAAGCAGATTTAAGCACAAAATTGTCTTTACTGTTTCGTGATTAGGATGACTTGTATGAGAGAATGCTTAATGTTATTACAGTGTGTAATGTTACAATATATATAGAGTATACAAGTGAGATTAGGGTAGATTAAATGACTTATCTATCCTTCCTATACATAATACTAATATTCCCCCTCAAGATGGAGGGACCTTGGTGACTCCAATCTTGGACATAACTTCTTGAAACCTTGGACGTGTGATAGGTTTCGTAAGCGGATCCGCGAGTTGATCATGAGTAGAGACATGAGTAACTCGCAACTTTCCAGCTTGAACATTGTCGCGAATGAAATGAAAATCCAAGGCAAGATGTTTCATACGCGAATGAAAAACTGGATTAGCAGATAAATGCGTGGCTCCAATGTTATCACAGTAAATGACTGGAGTTGTAGGGAGTTGCAAACCAAGTTCAGTGAGCAGCGAAGTGATCCACCGTATCTCCGCAG